TCACGTGTACTGTTGCATTTGTGCACAGGTGGTCGAATAATCGTCTCCGCTTGCTGCAAATTAACAATTTTGAGTGTACAAATATGCACGCTACCTAACGTTAGAATTATCGAAATGTGTAAAATACATAGCTTGCGAAATCCGACAATATACTCTCCAATCTTTTAGCGTATTGTTGAATTTCACTTACCTCGATATATATCAATCGATCCTTTATATACATCTTTCTCCTCTCTTCCATTTTTTTTTTTTATTATCAATTCACTCGAGATCGATTGATGCCAATGAATTGATGATTTTATATATATAGAATTTCGCGGAAATAATATTCAAAGATTAGCAATAAAATTATAACACTTTGGCTATATATATAATTTCTAGTCTATCTTTCTTAGAAAAAAATATTTTTATCAATTTTTAAACAATAATTCTCTATTATGCTGATATTTAATAAAATAATAATTCTTTTCTTTGCGCTGATAATAACATATTATTCTACGAATGTAAGAGTTGTTTTAATCAAATCTTAATCCGACTTTGATCAGTGATTAATTTAACTGACAGAATTACCGGTAAAATTTCCTGCAATATAATTTCTTGCCTGTAATCTAATCTGTCTCTTCATATGTCAAATAATAAAGATTAATAATTCTATCCACGGAACAATACAGAACAAGATATTAATGAACAGGTTATAATTTACAATTATGAATCCGAAATTTGATAGACGAGTTTTCTGAAAATTAATTTATAGATTCCTTGTAACGCTGTTAATAAATAATAAAAATTTTCACATTAACTGTATCAATTGCGTTTGCATTAGGTTTATGTTCTGCTGGCAAAGCTTTCAAACGTAACATGACGGCGTATTGACGACATATCGATCTGTCAAATACAGATTCCGTTCGTTACTGTCAATCCGCTTTGTATCTCACATCGCAAATCCGCTTGACTTCTCTCATCAATTTGCCGTCATGTCTTATTGATGAATTTTATATATTTTTGCCAATATGTAACAACAGCGTTGCGATAAAATTGCAAATACCGTATCAAATTTTTGTCAATAAAATCTGCATTATATATTTGCAAAATCTATTTTCTCAACTGTTTGGAATTATCAAAGGAATTATCAAAGGAAATTATCAAAGGAATTATCAAAGGAAACTACACGGATATGAGCAGAATATCTCCATAGGACGATGAAGCGAAGCCTGAGGATTGAGAACAATTCATTGTAACCATCTTGATTGATCAGAATTAAAGAAAAATTATTGTTATGTTTTTGCGGTGTTTCTTATTTTTATCGAAGCATCGATGTCCTTTGAGATTACATATTCGATTTGTAAGATTACATACTCGATTATGTAATAAAAGTTAGTGCCTGGAATAAAATGACGTATTCTGTAATTGGATTGTTACGCAAATTGTCTTTCAAACTGCTTTAAAAAAATCATATATTTTTCACATAATAAGAAAATTATTTTTAATTATGCCGCTATGCTGGTTACTGTAGATATTTAAACTGTATCTTCTAGATTAAAAAACAAAAATGTATATATAAAAATTAAGAGAAGAGCTGTGAATAAATAACATCCTCAAGATTCGTAGTTGGCGATTTACCTTTCTAATTTTCTAAGGCCTTTGAAAATGCCTGTTTTCATGTATCACTAATTGTTTTTATTTTTAGCATTAGAATAGGTTATAATCAAAGTAAATGCAGAATAATAAAATTTGAGTGATTATTTATGATCATGTTATCTATTTTGATTAAAAATGGGTAATGAGCGACGCATAAGAAGTACTTCGATTTTTCATGATTTTCACGTGGCTATACAACTGAACAGATCCTAAAACGTACTCGTGTTTAGAACCACCTGCGCCCTGTCAAGTGCTGAGTATCGCCGGTTAAAACTTCGCGATGCGAAGTGAAAACCGCGATAACGAAAAATGGCTTTCATCGAGGACACTTTTGTGATTCTCGTAACACAGGTGGAAATTCGTTTCCACTACAAGATCAGTTTTATCGATACTTCCCGCACTGATTAAGGTTATAAAGAGAGTACGGTGCTCCATACGTGTATTTCAGAATCGTGTGAATGATTATTTCTTTAACAAAGTTTAATGTAAAGCATAATATATATAAAACTGGACGAATATTTTATTTTGGTGATCTAATAACTTTCTTTACTACATCCTCAATCGACATTGATTCCTTGCGGATTATTAATATCTGTATGATATTTTTACATATAATACATTCATGAAATTGTGATTGATTTGTGAAATGTATGTATCTTTGAAATGCAACAATAAATTTCGTGTTGTAAAGCCGTGCATTTTATTTAGTAAAATGTTGAATCTTGCTGTCTAGCTGCATACATGTTTCTACATATTATTTGTTTTTAACCTACTTCGAATAGAATCTTTCATATAACTTATAACATTTTCTGTTTATTTATCTCCCATATATTTCAGGTAATTTTCTTCTTAGGAGGATGGGTGTTCTTTGTGAAGAAATTATTCAGGGATTATGAAGTTCATCATAGACTAGTACAACTAATTTTCTCTGCAACGTTTTCATTGTCATGTACCATGTTTGAATTAATTATTTTTGAAATAGCAGGAGTGCTTGACTCAAGGTAATAAAAAATATGTTCGTACTTTATCATTGAAGGTATAATATATTTGTTTCTCTCTAGTTCTAGATATTTCCATTGGAATGTTGGCCTTTACATGCTTCTGTTTATGGTAATAGTTCTGATACCATTTTATATAGCATATTTTATTATCAGTAATATCAGATTTGGTATGTATCCTTTATAAATATTTACTTATTTCTATTGATCACATCATTTTAATCAAATCAAATTGATCATTTTTTCATCTGCAGTAAGACTGAATCTAATACAGCCATTGACTATTATCATATATCTTTTCTATCTCTATCTATTCTGGAAAGTGGGAGATCCTTTTCCAATATTAAGCCCCAAGAAAGGATTGCTTTCTATAGAGCAAGGTGTCAGTCGAATAGGAGTTATCGGCGTCACAGTAATGGCCCTTTTGTCAGGTTTCGGGGCTGTAAATTATCCATATACTTCAATGACTTACTTTATGCGTCCAGTTTCTTACACGGACGTACAGTCTATAGAAAAACGATTGTTGCAAACTATGGACATGATTATTGCAAAAAAGAAAAGAATTGCCTTAGCTAAAAAGGGTGAAGCCGATGGACAAACCGAAACTCGATCTCGATTATGGGGAATGCTAGGTCCATTAGGTGGTATGAAGGGAAATCAAGAAAGTATATATTCTCATTAATTTTCAAAAAAACTATGAATATCGGTTTATCTTAATAATACAATACATGTTATTTTATAGGTATCAAGCAATTACAAATTGAAATTGCCGCTTTAGAGGAGTTATCACGACAATTATTTTTGGAAGCGCATGATATACAAAATGCGAGAGAACGTCTAGAATGGGCTGCTACTTGGCAAGGGAAATATTTTAATTTCCTCGGTTATTTCTTTTCTTTGTACTGCACATGGAAAATATTCATTGTAAGTGTGATTAATTGCTAATTTAAATTTCCTCTAATAATAATTCATAATCACGTTATATAGTCCACAATCAACATAGTATTTGATCGAGTTGGCAAAAAAGACCCAGTGACTAGAGGAATTGAGATTGCAGTGCATTGGATTGGTTTTAATATCGATGTCACGTTTTGGTCACAACACATTTCTTTCTATCTCGTCGGTTGCATTGTTGTAACATCCATACGTGGATTATTGTTAACTCTGACAAAGGTACACAAAAAACTATATATATATATATACACACACACACACACACACACACACACACACACACATCTCTTATATATTTTTTTAATTTCTATAAAATATTCTATATGTATGTGTATTATTAATTTTATATAATTAATGTTTCTAACACTCTATTGCATATATAAAATAAAACAAAGAGATATGTAATAATAAATATGAATATTAATTTTTCATTGCATTATTTAATATACTCACTACTGACTTCTTGTTTTAGTTTTTCTATGCTATATCAAGCAGCAAATCGTCAAATATTATTGTACTTATACTTGCGCAAATAATGGTGAGTATAACTTAAGATTATCTAATATAGAATATATAATTCTTATATGTTCAGATTTAAAATTCTGCGTTGCCTTTCTTCTTTCCAGGGTATGTATTTCGTATCTTCCGTACTTCTTATGCGAATGAATATGCCAGCAGAATACCGCATTATAATAACGCAAGTATTAGGAGAATTACAATTCAATTTTTATCATAGATGGTTTGATGTTATTTTCTTGGTATCAGCGTTATCATCAATAGTGTTTTTATATTTAGCTCATAAACATGCACCAACAGAACGCATGTAACAAAATAAAGGTACTTTTTATTGAGAAAAATCTTATCAGACTTATGAAGCAGTTTATTTAAAACCTACATTCGATATTTCGATAGATAAGTTATTAAAATTATTCTCGGGGATGCCCAAGAATAATAAAATTAAATACTTTTGATACATATTTTTGTTGTAATGTGCTATAATAGTCTTAAATGCTATAATCTTTATATTTCTCATTTTTTTTATTAAATCATAGAATAAAGAAAATTATATAATTATTACTGTGTAAATTATACAATTATTACTGTGTAAATTATACAGAGGATCATATTTATAATTTTCCAGATATATTTGCTTAATTGACTTGATCAATCAATTAGCAGCTATTATATAATTAAAAGCAATCAGTAATTACTTTACTTTCACACAATAGCTAAATTGTATTCATATTTGTTCTAAAAAACAATCATCCAAATCACAGATAACTGAACAGTGATAGAAAATTGGCATTAATGTATGGATACTGAGTCGATTATGAATAAAATATCATAATCCTAATGTAATAATTCAATGGTCCATTCCTCGCCCATATTTACAGCTGGTTTACGTATCGTTAATACATTATTATGTGGATTATATGTAGTCTCCAAAGTTACTTTTCCCATGCCTGTAAGAAAATATATTATTAATACAGATTTATTGTCAAATTGATGTATCACGCATATTTGAATGATTACTCACTGTGAGATTCCAATTGGGCAGATTTAATTCCCTGTGGAGGATTAGTTATGTCTATTCTTTCTAACCAGCTTTGTGTTTCATACGAAGCTAATTTATCTTTCAGAGTTGAAATAATCTTATTGCCGTCCAAAGTTATTCTTAGATACAAATATTTTCCATGACGATATTCGAAGCTGACTTCATCATCAATGTATAGGGTGCCACTAGCTTTGCCATCGCTATCAGCAATTATTATCAGTGTGTAAGGATCATTTCTCATGGCTACTGTACTACGTCGTATTCTCATTTTTCGTGGTACGATAGTACCACTTTTTTGGAATACGGGAATCTTGTGAATTGTTACTGGTATTTTGACGTATCCTGAGTTTTGATAGGCTTGCATCGTATCAATATCGTACCAAGTTATTTTACCTTCTCCTGGGAAGTAAACTGCTACTTCAGTTGCACTAGATTGGAATACTGGACGTACGAGTATCGAATCGCCGAGTAGCAACTGATCGTCGATAGTAAATGTTCCTGATTCGGTTGGATAATGCGCCCATAAAGGTCGTATAACGGGAAGACCGTTTACTTCATGTTCTCTAAAAAGTGTATACCACAATGGCAAATAAGAATATCGCAATCTAAGAGTTTCACGAACTATTTGGGTGGTTTCCTCATTAAATGTCCATGGCTCACGTCTCTTTGTCTCAATATGAGAATGTTGTCGGAAGAAAGGCAACCATGTTGCAGCTTGATACCACCTAATAAACAACTCAGAATCTGGATTTTTGAAGAAACCTCCAACATCGGCACCGCAGAATGACATTCCAGATATAGCTACTGAGAGACACATGGGATAACTTATACGGAGATGATTCCAGTCAGCTGTATTATCACCGGTCCACATTGCAGCATAACGTTGTGATCCAGCGAAGAAAGATCTTGTTAGAACAAAAGGTCTTAAAGAACCACCTGACCGACGGAATAAAGCTTCATACGTCGAACGAATATACATGTGTCCATTAATATTATGAACGTCTCTATGTTCCCAACCTCCGTAATGGATGAGATCTTTTGGTGCCGTTATTTCAGGTCCATTAAACACACTTGGTTCATTCATATCATTCCAAATGTATACATCGTTAGTTGTACCGTGGAATTTATCTAAACTGTATAATCCAGTATAATATTCGATAACTTTTGGATCGAAAAAGTCTAAATAGGATGAGGATCCGGGCCAGCACCAACCCTCGTAATCTTTTCCATCTCTGGTTTTGATATAATAGCCCAAGCTGGTAGCATCATTATGTAAGAAATAACTATTGTCGCGTTTAATATGAGGATCTATGATAACCACCAATTTTCTGCCTTTAGCAGTAAGATTATGTATCATTTCGAGAGGATTTGGGAATTTACGTGAATCCCAAGTAAAATATTTCTTGCTATCGGTATATTCGATGTCAAGCCACATAACTTCCAATGGTATATCATGTGTATCAAAACCTTCGGCAATTGTTGCAACATCATCCTGATCATTATAATTCCAACGAGATTGATGATATCCGAAAGCAAACATCTAAAATGCGCATTAAAAAGATAACATCAGTATATCATAATTTAAAAAAAGATATTAAATTTTTACAATATTTTGTTCAACATACCTGCGGCAAAGGAGCTGTGCCAGTTAAAACAGTGTATTGTTTAAAAACGTCAAGTGGTTTTGGACCCATCATAAAGAATATATCAATCACTCCAGATTCTGACATAAAATGAGCATCTACTTGAGATTTTTTAGTCGATCCAGATACAAGATTAACAATACTTTCTACAACATTATTGTCTGCACTCAATAGAATATCAACCCATGTTTCTGCTGTATTATGCCAGAAAACAGCAGATGACTTTTCCTTTCTGAAACATTATAAACTTTGCATAAATATATTTTCATGAATTTCAGAGTTTTCATTTATCTACTTAATAAGTCCTTACCCATGAGCATAAAGAACTGGAATGGCACCATACAAAGCCATACGTTCATTTGTTTCATATTCAAACACATCTAAATTATACAATCTATATGGATCAGTAGATTTCGTTGACTGCAATGCAAATGAATCGGCGTGTTCTGGAATACCATATGCATGCTCCGATCCAGGAAAACTGAAATCCATGGCAACAGCTTCAGGTCCATATGGTTTCGCATCATGATGCTCCTTAAAATTTTCTTCCCAGGCACCAGGATCATTTTCAGCACTATCGCCAGGATATGTTGTATTTGTTTTTACTGCTTCGGCATTTTCATCTTGTTCTGGTTGTCTGTATGATACATAGCAATATATCATTTTATAAAAAAATTTAATGTAATAATTCTATTTTATAACAATACTTACTTTTCTGATTTGACGCGTACATGTTCAAATCTCATAAGACCACGAGCATTTCCTACTATTGTTAAAACACCTTGAGAATATAACTCTACTTTAAATGGATTAATATATAAGACAGCTTTGTTATCGCCTTTGGTTACAGTTATGCTGTCAGCAGTGTTTTCCACAAAATCTACTTCCACAATTTGTGGCTGATCGTGAAGAGCATATTGATTTTCATATCCAGGACGCAGTGGATTTTTCTCCTTGATGTGTAACCGAAATGTACTTTCCTTCAATGTGGTGAGTTGTACCACATAGGTAACACCTGTATCTTTATTAAATAAGTCTATAACGATCACAGATTCATTCTGTACATATGTATCTGGCAAAAGCCGATATGGTGTTTTTCCAGGTTCCATTCCTCTGCATCGTCTGTGAGAAAAATAAAATAAAGATTACATTCAACATCTCAAATAATGATATTCACAATGAAAGTCAATTCTTACCGACAGAAACTGCTTTGATCGCATCTTTTGAAATTGTCTCTGTTGACAGCATCGGTAATGAATGGAGAACATAGTAGTATTAAAAATAGAGCCAACCTGAAACAAAAACAAAATGAGATCAGTGCCGAACATTCACCAGGCACTATGTTCTAAGTAAATCACAGATTAAAATTTCATAAAAACGCAGATTAAAATTTCATGAAATCATGCTTATCAGCGAGCATTACATCGTGCTCTTTCACGTTCGGCTGGGTAACGACCCCGAGAAGAAATTTTGCCGGAAAACGCGACCACGCAACAGCCTGTAGCAACAACGTTCCTTTATAAAAACTGTACAACTTCACCGTAGCGTATGGCAGCCGTATTCGTCCGACGACAGATTAGATTAGATCGGCGAACGGCGGAGCGACGAGTTCATTGAAAAAAAAAAAAATATTTATATACGAATATCGCGCGGAGAGAGCGACACGTCAGCGGCGTATCAATGATCCGCGGAATCTGCGACGTTACGCTAGTAAAACTGACGATGATCGCCGCGCCCGGCAAGAACGTCGTGAATGAGCGATTTTTCGCACACTCGCGACAAATCCGTATCTTCGCCCCGATCGAAGGTTAAAAAGCCGAAAATAAACTCATGGCACGCGCGAAGCTATGTTGAGGAAGCGACTACTGCCGTATCGCCACATCTCGCCTTCCCGCTGATCATGCGAGATTGATTTTATAGATGGCGCGACGTGATTCTTTCCAATAAAAGGTTTATTCACCCTCCTTACAGCCCTTGACATTTTTGTCTCTAACATATTTTG